ACACCCGTGCAAGTGCTGGATGTGACAGACCTGCTGTGCCGCTTCTTTGGTGCTTACAATGACGGCAAGGAAGCACTCTGCAACTTGAAAAGCAGACATCCGCGTGAGGAAAAGTCGGCAAAAGTCTATTGAAGATTATTTTTCTTCGAAGTGATCTGGCAGCTGACGTGCTAAATTTGGCCAAAATAAAGTGCATTGTTCTTTATTATTTTGCAAGTTTTTTGCCTTCCGATGACAGTTTTTCTTTGCTCGGAAAGCAGCTCCGATATTCGGTGGCAAGTACGTTCTCTCCTGCTGGCTAATTGTCGGTAGAAATAGATATTGGCCATAACAAACTAATGGTTATAACGAAGTAATTACGACTCTTCCTTCAACTTCATTATAACGAGGTTTGACTGCACATAACAAAATAACCGCGCAATAAAAGTCAAAACAGAGTTTTGCAATCATGCCAAACAGTTGCGAGCAGGGTGAGCGCGGACGACGTAAGTAAAAATTTGAAAGTCGCGCCTTTCATGATAAAGCGCCATCTGTCGAATGCAGAAAAAACCTTTTTACTGATAGCGCCACAAAAGTACAGCGGCACAAAAACAAAGGGCGTGGCCTCCAAAACGGTGCGTGCACGGCACAGAAATGCACCGCGCACATGCCTTCTCGGACTTTCGCGGTGCGCAACCACTCACCGCGTCGATGGCACATTGTGCACCTGCAATGTCTACCGCAATGTTTGTGCACCGCCATCAGACGTTGCGTTTTTGTTGTTTGGTTTGTCGTTGTGAACTTAGTTAGAACATCTGCCGCTCAGGGCGCGTTCGGCTAGTACGCTAGCTACACGGATAGTTATGAACAGCACGTTCTGGAGCGTTGGAACTGAGCGGCTGGACGACACTTCGGCGTGGATCTGTGCGTTTTCGTTACAGGAGGAAACAAAAAGAGCTTCGGGCTACAAAAAAAGATTTGTCGCACATTTCGCGGGCCAGAACAAGCAAAGCCATCATGCAAATTTTTCGCTGTTATAATTCCCGTGACTTCTTTCTCCCGCGTAATGAACACTCACTTTAAATTGGTGTCAACATTTCTCAAAAAAAGGTGGGTTCATTACGCAGATAGGTATGGGTATGATACTTGCCACCCTCTTACTGATGCTACAGTATTCCTCCATGTTGCCAGCGATATTCTTGTGTATAGAAAATCCCATGCCTAGTACTTCTGTCAACTAATCCCCAATAACAATACGTGTCCATTCTTCAGCACTGTATTTATTTATTTATTTATTTATTTATTTATTTATTTATTTATTTATTTATTTATTTATTTATACCTACAGCACCCTCTGGGGTCATTATTCTAGGGGGTTTACAAATTCAAAGTACATTTAAATCAGTGGGGACAAGTTGAATTGCAAGGCACACAAAAATAAAAACAAATCAAGAATACCTAAATCACAGCATACAACATCATTGTGTGACCACATACTCCTTCAAAAGGGAAGGAAACGCTGTGGAAGGGGCGGTCACAATGTTTTTTGGAAGACTGTTCCATTCGTGTATAGTTTTAGGAAAAAAAGTATTTGCATACGTTGATGTTCGGCACATATATTCACACACTTTCAAAGGATGGTCCCGCCGTGATGAGATGTATGTTGGTGGTCTGATGTATTTGTTTTTATCGATCCCTGTTTTGTCGTTTATTAGGTTGTAGAAAAGACATAGCCTGATATATTTACGTTTTGAGGAGAGTAACGGCCAACCAAGTGAACTAACGATTTCGCTAGACCTTCTGGTGAAGTTATAATCACCCGTCGCACGTTTCTGAATGCACTCCAATGCATCAATATTTAACTTGTGGCCGGGTCCCAGGCAGTGCAAGCATATTCTAAAATCGAGCATACATTTGACACGTAAAGAACAGAGGGGGCGGTTCGGAAATTGCGGCGTAGGAAGTTCGGCACGCGACTGCCTTTAACTGATACCGTGCGAACATGATCATTCCACGATAGTGTGCTGTTGATGACAACGCCAAGATACTTGTATTCATTTACCATGGATAATGGTATCCTTTCCATGAAGTAGTTAGTTTGTGATAAAAGGCTGCTTTTTCTTGGTAAACCTAACGACACAGCACTTGGACAAGTTAAGCTCCATTTTCCACAAACTGCACCATGGTATTACTGAGCCAAGGTCTTTCTGCAGTTGTTGGAATCTTGAGTTCGAAATCTTAAGCTTCACGTGTCCTCTACATGACGCTGACAGTGACTTTGCTGGCTCAGCAAAGTCATTGTCAGCGTCATGAGTAAAAAAAAGTGAAAAAAATTTTAAAAAATTTTTTTCACTTTTTGGTCCCAAAGAGCAGTCTGCCCCCTTAAAAGTGATTGTTTCGGAAGTCAACTTTTTGACATCTTCATGATAAATCACTTTATATGGTAATCATGATGGTTCAGTGCATAGTTTACTGTCCTCGTAACATATCTCCTGAGTTGCTTCCGATTTGCACCATTTCTTTTGGCTGTTTAAATATTACTCGGATTTTGGCAAATTTCAATTTATATAATTTTTTTGTATATTTTGAGTAATGTGATGCTAAATACTCTAAACATCTATAAAACAAATTTTAGACAAAAGGTCCGATACCTTTTTTTTTTTTTTCTCTAAAAGGTAGCAACATACAGTAGACTCCTTTTAAACGAAACCTGAAGGGAGAAGGAAAATGTGTTTCCTTTAAAGGAGTTTCATTTACTGAGAGATAAACAGGGGTGCAATATTCAAGTAGGGAACCAAACATATTAGAGGCAGTTGTTCCATTTAAGAAGCAATTTCGTTTAAGAGAGTTTCGTTTAATGGCAGTCTACTGTATATTTGTGGTGAGTGATGCAAACACGTAATTACTTCCACACAAAGTTCCTTGCCTTATGCCACTTTCTATAGCTAGAAATAATTCGCTGCTTACCTTTTCATCCACTATTTTATGTAATTAGCCTAGCCATAGATGTAATTACTAGTACATACATTGAGCCCAGACTAAGGACCACTGTCTGCTACTATAGCTATTGTGGGCATTGATTGATTGATATGTGGGGTTTAACGTCCCAAAACCACCATATGACTATGAGAGACGCCGTAGTGGAGGGCTCCGGAAATTTCGACCACCTGGGGTTCTTTAACGTGCACCCAAATCTGAGCACACGGGCCTACAACATTTCCGCCTCCATCGGAAATGCAGCCGCCGCAGCGGGGATTGTGGGCATTGAGGCTAGCCCGCCGCCATTGCGCAGGCTTTGCCGCCTATTTCTGCTGTTCTCATGTCCGAACATGACTCTCCCCTCCTCCGTGGTCTGTCACACTGGGGGAGCGGGAGTGGCTATTAACCTCTCTCACCCGGTAGCGGATGTTGACTGTGGCGCCGTGCGTAAAGTCTCTTGGGACGTTGCGTAGTGAGTCAGTCAGATTTCTCCCGGACAACTTAATGTGAGCACGCATTTCTCTCACATCCGTCGACTCCTATTGTTTGGGGCTCGTTTGGACTTCACCAACGACACCTTGCATCCGCGGCGAACGCTTACCTTTTTTGTTGCCCCCCCCCCCCCCCCTCGAACGCTAGGCTCCATCGACCGGGCCCTTTGTATCGGTGTCACCGTGAATCTCTTTTGCCTACGAAGATGTGCTCGCAGCACACTGTGTAGTACTTCTCGCCTGTGGCATAGATAAACCCATTTGTTTTCCCGCTGCCCCTGTTGCAACGGGCACTGTACTGCGTTTTTCGTTGCCGTAGGCAATAAGGTGTTGCGATCTGTTGGGAGCAGTACTGTGTATTTGCCACGCTGCCCTTGGTGGCTTGGCTGTCCGAACGAGCATGTGCAAAGGCGACGGTTAATGCGTGTCCTGCGGCGCGCTACGACCCGACTCACACAAGTGGCTATACTTCTGCGGAATACATGTACACTACACTATTTACCAGAGTTTTATTTACTACTCCAAAATGCCAACAAAATAGGATACAGCCCTGAATGCAACGCCAGTCTATTCTTTACCAATCAGAAATTTTTCGCGTTTACTTTCCGTGCACTCCAACCACCCGCATCGTATACGCTCAACATAACAATGATATAGACGTAGCCAATCAATTTGCAGAACAGGAGCATGCGAATCGTCAGTTGACCGGAAACGTCGAAGTAGGAGTGCGATCACTAGAAATAAGTAAAAATCCGACATTGTGGACACTTTAAAACCAACAATGTCAAATTTGAGCAAGACAGAAAAAAGTTCGGAGAGAATAAACGCATGAGAAGGAGGGTCATCAGCATTAAGCCAGCTTATGCTCGCAAGGTCAGAAATTTGAAACCGTGCGATGCTTTTTTTTATATATATATATATGAAAAAATTAATTTTCTCACAGTTAATAAGAGAAGGCCAGGTGAGCTACGAGTCAGATGAAGTTGAGAGCTGAAAGGCAGTTAGTAGGTGTTTTAAAGCGCTAAGAAAGTGCAACAGAATTCTTGTTCAGTATTCTTTTAAATCCCACCAAACAGACAAGACATTACTTGCATGGATCTTTTTTTTTACCAGCATCAATTTTTATTTGCTTGGTGCAATGGAGCCCCTAACCAGGTCGCCCGCAACGGTCGGCAGTAGCGATTGCCAATGCGCTGACTTCGTTGTGGTCACCCGAATACAATTGAATCTGCTTGTCCCTAATCAAGCACAGTGTGAAGCAGAGCATCATTGGAGGTTTTTTAAGGCTGTTCTGATCAAAATAAATGTCATTTTCATGTCCGAACCAATTTTTTGGACTATGATTTTCCAAATTATTTCACGGACCCCACCAGGTTGAGAAAATATCTTCCGTTGTGTAACCTACTCTTTTCCAACCAGTGTAGTCTGAAGAGTGAGATTGCCCTCTAGGGTTGAGAATGAGTGAGGAGCACTTGCATAACTGCCCATTCAAATGAGATCACCCACCAGCCAAGGTAATGCTGAACCCCTGCTGCATAAAACTATGCAAACCTGTGCAGTTCATCGAGTCCTCGGTTCAGTAGTTGTTGCACCACCTCCACGCTGCCTTGGGCAGCTGCAATGGAGAGCACTGTTCGTCCTTCGGCATCAATGCTGTCCACATAGGCGCCCCAGAAGAGGAGCAGGCCCACCACGTCAGCATGGCCCATGGACGCAGCAGCAAACAGGGGTGTCCGTCCACTGTGGTCAGCATGGTCTAAGTCGGCCTCGGCTGCAACAGAACAATTCATCAAAACTGCTACTCAATAATGATTATTATTATTATTATGCGAGTGGTTGTGTTCATTCTGAAAATTGAGGAGCTGGTTAGAAAGCTAGAATGTATGAGGCTTCGTGTATAAATCGGATTACTCTTACATATAAATAGTATCAGATTATAAATTTTATTGCTATTGTGTACAGATAGGATCATATTACCCTTAACCGATGACTGAGCTCGTCAATATCATTGCACTATTGTGAGCATCATTTTCTTTGCTGAACAAAAGTTTGCCCAATAAAAAGTTCAGCCTTTACCATGTCTGCCTTGCTCTTTACCGTCAAACCACTTGACAATTTCATATCAATGTTGAATCGTATGCAAGATACGTATCTACCAACCTGGGGACCTGGAAATTTGTGACATTCATACTGTAAGAAGGAAAGCGGCAAGCCAAAGGAAAACTGCCCTACGTTTTGATTACTTTTCAGGGCCATAGAAACATTGTAGAAAGCCATGTATGATAGCCAGAAAAGCTTTTAGATGCCAGTGGTCATACTGGTATGTGTAAATACAAAGCTCCTGCATGAGTGCGTAATTACCAGACAACTCATTGCAGCCCCTTCCCAATCCTAGTTGTCTTTTCCTCATTACACCAATGCATTACAAATAAGGCCACTTATAAAAATTTTAGAGCTTGTTTTCATTAAGAGTGGGCCAATTCTCATAATTTCAAAAATGATTCCAATAGTGTTCCCTATTCAACTTGCACAAAAAGTTTTCCTATTTGAACTTTCCAAAAACAAATAATGTCAACGTCAAATTAAAAATTAACTCCACAAATTTTTTACTGTGCTTCACCTCATCACATTAGGGTTGAATACGACAGTGTGCAATCGCCACGATTCGCAATGTCGTGAATTATTTTTGATTCGATCGACCCTTTGCAGAAAAGCGCTTCCAAAATGTACGCCGTTTCAAGCAGACTTGAGGAGGTGCCCAAAGATGCAAGCTTTGGCCACGCTCGCTCGTGCATCTAAATTAGCTATACTCGTGTGTGTGGAGTACACAGCATTCAGATATGTGGAAAGGGGTCATGGAATATGCGTATAGGAAATGCACACCAGCAGAAGAATAAAATATGTTTTTTACTACTAGCCAGGTTCCTCTTTGCACCTCCAGATGACTCCACCTATCCGGCCTAAATGATGGTGGGGAGATCATCAGGGGAGTGATAGGGCGCACTAAATGGCGCTTAGATATGTGGAGAACCTTATTTCTCCAGAAGGTCGCAAAGTGAGACAGCCCCTCTTCTCTCTTCCCTCCCTCTTTCATAGTGGTCACTGTCTTTGAAGCCCTATCTCAAAAAGAGCTCAATTTTCCGGAGCGCGTGCTGTGAAGCATTAGTATAGAATCGATAATTTGTGATCGGATCACAACTAGGTTTCCTTAATAGTGTGCTGTTCCACACGTGTGCGGTTTTGTCATGTGTGTTGCGCCCCGTGGAATGAGCTATATAATGTGTTGTAAGGGTACGCAATAAACAAAAATTGGAAGTTAGCACTCACACTGTCGTCTGTTTTTTTTTTCTCCTTTTTGACAGCATAGTATCTTTCCTTCACGCTCGAACTGAGCTGCGATAAAGCAATATAATTTTATCATGCACCAATTCGCCCAGTCAGCAGTACTTGTGCCCTGACGCTTGCCAGATAGTGCAAGAGGGTGTTATCGCGTGCATCGTTCAAGTGGTGGAGATGGTTCATCTTATTTGATCTCTGCTTTAGTAGCGCTCGCAGCCCCTGCTTGCACGCTTTTATCCGGGGGTAGAAGTTACGATGGAGGGGGGAGGGGGGGATAATGTTAGGGGCGTAGGCAGAAATTTTTTTCGTGGGGGGGGAGGGCGCCACCTTGATTTGAAGTGGGGTCCAGGCCGGCAGATGTGGTCACACGCCATTTTGTGCTCTGTATGCCATGGCAAAAAGACATATCGGGGGGAGGGAGGGCAGCAGATGCATGGGCCTAGTGTGCCATCCCCTGGCTCCACCACTGGAAGTTATCAATTTGTACTTTGTATGAAGCACAATGGCAAGAACCTATCGGGAGTGTCAATATAATTCTCGTTATAATAAGAATGCAGTTTTTTACCACTAAATACAGTCCAGCCCACATATAGCGGCCCCACTTGAAACGAACTTTCGCTTAAAGCAAACAATATCCACATGACTGTGAAAATATACAATGCTTCAATGGCACAAAATCGCACTTACAACGAACGTCTCGAAGCGCCGCCGATCGGTTACAGCGAACGGAGTCAGCGCACTGTCGACTTCCCGGGAAACAGCTTTCGACCATTGATCAGGCATCGGCGAGGTCCCCATAGATTCTTATTGTTAAACACCAATCCTGCCTTCGCACTCCTCTAGTTGCCACTTCCCCTGACTGCTTTTTGTTACGCACCCCTCTGTCCTTTGTCCCCATGCTACTCTGGGCACCCTGCATTGCCAGACGAGGCCCATGTTTTCACACTGCCACCAGTCTTTCGAAGACGGGTCGGCCATCTCCCCTCAGTTTTTGACCGCTGGTACTGTTGTTGGCGTCGCCGGACTGGAGTGACCAACCAGGCCATCTGACCACCGACTGTATCCAATCGTCTGCGCCTTGTCTAATCGTATTGTTCTAGTGCACGCGAGTACGCTACCCCACCTTACTCTGATAATTCACGATTTCTTTTGTGTTTAAGACCTGTTCTCGGCCACTTGGCATTCTATTCAGCATGCCCTCTGCACGCATGCAGAAGTGTAAAAACAGCTGTTATTTGCGCGGAATGAATGGCAAAATATCAAAATAGGTGAGGCCAGGCAAACTCACCGGCGCAACAAAACGATTGTTTGACCACAGCCGCTGGTTTTTCTAACACCGCTGCGCGCCCAGAGGTCGAAGCACTGCCGCCTGGATCGGCGCACGCGGCAATCCAGGTAGTCGTGCTTTGATCTTTGCGTGTGCATGCACTCTTTCAAGTTTTTCTACGCGCGAGTTGCACGTTTTGCCAACCTTTCAAGCAAGCTATCCAACCGGCCTTTTTCCCATGTGTTTTGGTTTTCAATGTCGCCTTCCCGCCGTATCTTCCCCTTTCTTCACTCTATCAACACTCCTTGCCCTTCTCTCGCAAATCTATCCTCTTTTGATCACAACTCCTTCGCCCTTTTCCACTGCTCCGGGACACCAGCCATGCTGGCTCAAATTAATGTTTCGTTTTCTGACAAGAAACGGGCCCAGAGCTGTTCTACGCGTTTTGGCATGTGTGTTGCGTGTGCGTGTTTTGCTCGCTCTTGGTGTGCGTGTGTGGTCAGGATGGCGGACGGAAGGCCTTGCACGCTTTTCCTGCCGCTCAACAAAACGTCAAAAGTGTGACCGCGTGGCTTGAGCGTAATCTGTGCGTTAGGTGCCGCGTTGCGGAGCGATTTCTCATAGCTGTTGACCACATGGCAGCCAACTTGCCGCATCGGGCGTCCCGGTATTCAGCTGTGGAGATGGTGAATATTTCGTGGGCGGCAGTGACGACTACATGCGCGCGAAACTGTTTTCGCGAGGCCGACTTCGTCGACGTCAGGACCGATGCCGAGCCTGAAGCTTCTGAACTGCAGCGGCGATTTGTGGCAGCGCGTCGTCGACTCAGACGTGGGAGAGTGGGTGGGACATCTGTTGCGATGGTTTCATTATGGCCGATGATGATGCCAACAACGTGAAACCGTGCATGGATTAGGGCATTGTGAATGAAGTACACGGCAAGAGCGATTTGAAGGAATCGAATTGCGAAAACCACGAAACTTCGGAGCCAGTGTCTCGTGCAGCTTATGCCACGGGTTTTGGCGAAGAACACGCTGCCGTTTGAAATAAACTCGAGACCGCCCTTATCGCTTCTGCGATTCAAAACATGTGCGTCACGAACTTTTTTTGGGGCAAGAAATTTCGTGTTTTCGCTCCCAACTTTTTTATAAGCTGCGTTTCGTTTACTACAAACTTCGGAATACAGCGAACAGATGCCGCGTCAGGCTCAGGTTTGTTATAAGTGGGCTCGACTGTAAATGTTTTGAGTAAGTTCTGCCCTCAGTGCTTTTTTATTTATTTGTGCTTTTATTTATTTGTGATTTTCCCAGTCAAGCTGCATATAACGAAATTCTGGTTGTAACGATTCTTTTTCAGAACGTGGTCAAACTGTAATAAATAACAAACCCACCATCCAAGAGAAGCTCGCAGACCTCCCGATGACCTTCAAAAGCTGCCACAAGCAGAGGAGTCATTCCTTCGTTGTCGACATGATCCACGTCGGCCCCCCTTTCCAACAGCAGTGCCACAACACCAAGGTGGCCCTCGGAAGGACGTACGCACAGTGCAGCTACTGAGAGCGCCGTGCGCCCGTCTCCATCTGCGTGGTTGGCCTCTGCTCCAGCGTCGAGCAAGCGCTCCACGATCTCCGCATGGCCCATGTAAGCAGCAGCAATGAGGGCTGTGCGGCCCTCACGGTCAGCACGATTGACGTCGGCCCCTTTCTCCAGAAGCTGCGCAACCACTTCTTCATGGCCTCCCCATGATGCTGCCCGCAGTGCCGTCCGTTGCTCACCATCTGCCAAGTCCACCTGTGCCTTGTTTTCAAGCAGGGCTTCCACAACCTGCAAGTACAATCACATTCATCTCAAAGTAGTAAAGGATTTTTCACCTTTTGTGGCACACATCATGACCGACTGTCTATGAATGTGTGAAATTTGCACACTTTAATGCCACAGTTTTGGACACTTGGATGATTGAGACATAAGAGAGCCTGCTGAAGGCATACTTTGTATGCAAGGACCCTAGGTGCGAAGTGTTATACTCTGCGGGAGCACTATCACCCCTGTCAAGTCGTTTGTACCTTGTGGTGCACACGTGTCTGACAGATAGGCCGCCTTTAGGTTTAACAGCCACCGAGCAGAAGGTGGCGCAGTGTTTATGCAGAGCGGGGGCTGTGATGGAGAGGCCAGGCCGGTGCACGAAAAAAGGAGTGGGTAATTGGAGCGGGTAATGCAATTCTCGCCAAGACAACGTCTCGTTGTACACGGTACTGACTTCACGAAACCAATCATGTGTAGCAAAACATTTCACCTGGAAGTGTTGCCTTAGGCAGCAAAAACATGAAATACCATAAACCCAGTGTGTTCAGGGTTGTAGCAAGGTTTTTGACTGGGCTAGTTGGTGAAGATCCATAATAGGTTCCAAAACACGGGTGAAGAAGAGATACACGAGGGCAACTGAATTTTATTTTGAAGAAACACACTTGTACAGCATTGCACATGCATGAGTGCCTGCTGTCGAAAATGTTCTTTGACAATGATAATCATTTATGTCGCTTAATAGTAGTAAGATATGCGTGCAAGACAGTTTGCTGCTCGCAAGAATGATAACTCCTTTCTGCATAGCACTATTGAAGGTTTACTAATTGCCTTTCTTTCTTCAATTGCCACAGTTTCAATAATCAGCTTTTCATTCCCACACGACATTTTAGGATAACAGTAGTGTCAACAAAGATAGGAGTGCAGCTGCACTCAGAACAATGTTGCGCCAAAGGCCAACTCTGCCTTTTTTTATTTTTTGACGATGCTCTAACAGACGAACATAAAGACATTTTACTATTTGTGCCACATATTCCACTCCACAGGAAACAGGTATGTCATAGACCCCAAGTTTCGTACATCCTACAATTGGGTTCTTATGCTTAACATTGCAACCTTCTTCCTTACTGTCACGTTGACAAAGGCAGTAATCAGTATGTCCAAGATGAAACTGTTTATTAGGCCGAACTTGTGGCTGGTAAATTGAAAATCTGGTTTCAGCAATACACACAGGTAGCGGCGAACTGAGTGTTGGTCATCGACCAACTGACAAGTGGTGAAGCGTATTGGCATTTATGCATGTGCTGTTAGATATTTCAGTTATTGCTAGCGGCCACACAAGCTCTAGAAGTACCATACTGTAATGCTCACAATGCACACATAATAGCATCAGAAGGTTCTAAGATTATCTGGACGTTTCTTGGTCATTCGGCATGGTTTTCGCTAGGCAGCACTTAAAGTGTAATGGGTGATAAATAAATTTGAGGAAGGAATGTGAGATGTTTGCTGTCATGGGGCAGGTTTGCTTGCGTAACTTTCAAAAATTATTGGGAGCAGAAAGAAGAACCTTCACCTCTGATTTCTTGCCGATTTTTTTCACGCGCTGCGATGCACATGTGAGATTACTAAAACATTTTGCTTTCGAGGTTTTTGAGCATCTCAGCCAGATGAACTTTTGCCTCCTTCAACAAGCTTTCTGACACAAAAATCCCTTTAAGAAACCTGCTGCTTCAAGTCTGGACACTGAACATTGTGATGACATGACTTGTTGATGGCACTCGAAAAACAAGTGTGTGCTTTTCATCACTTTACTATGAGATGAACGCAAAGACAAAGTTGCATCAGGTGTCACACCATATGAATGATGCAGCGAGTAGGTGGCTTAAAGGTCCATCCGTCGCAGAGGTTGGAGAGTATACAGTTGAGAAGAGCACCACATTAAAAGGGTTGCTTGCCTTACTACTGCGAGATAATTCGTTGAGAGAGATGGCCGTGCAATATTTTATGAACATGGTCAGAAAATGCTGCTGATTGGTGGTCGAGGCTCCTGCAGAAATGTGAGTCAAACATTAAAGCACCCCAACCCACAGCAGGGAATTTATAATTACGCTAGAAATCACTTCAGATTTCACCCAAGATTGGCTGACTTGAATGTCCTTGGCTACATAGTTACTGCAGCTGCTGTGGACTGGCAATGTGCTTATGGTGCACTCTCCTGGTGCGAAAATTACGCTACGGAATTACACCAGTGCATTCATGATCATCAATAATTAAAGAAAGTGCTCAATAAGGCCATGCTCATGTGCGCGCCCCCATGTCAGCTCTCCCTGCGCAGCTTTCGGAGAACTCGCTCGAGCAAAAGGAGAGAGAAGGTATGAAAGCGTGTGACTAATCACTTCATATCACTGCGATAGGTTTTTAAAATGTTTGTGGCAGCCAATTCGTGAGGCAAGAGCATGGCCTTTAACAATCACTTAGAAAAATGCTGCCACACCCATTTAATGTGAATGCTTTTCATTATAATGTCAGCCACACACAGATGCAGCAGGCAGATTCTACTGTACACACTTCCCATTCCTTTCAAAACTTCCCATCTCATATTGTTCTATTATGTAAATGTATCCTCTCTAACGGAATGCAGCAGACCCTCATGAACAGAACAAGGAGGGACTAGGAAAATATGTTCCACCTAACTGAGGCATGAACAGAAATTCAAGTATGAAACCAACTGCATTACAGACAGTTGCTCCATTTTAAGCATCAGTTCGGTTCAAGAGGATACGTTTACTAAGTGTCTACGGAATAGCAAGTCTGCATGTTAACACATCATGAGCTGAAGGTGAAAGCTTATCGTGATCCCCAAAGGTGGGAAAGCTTGACAAACCTCAAAATATGCCACTGCCAAACATAACCTTGCTCACAAGTTCACAATTCTGCGAATGTGCCTGCAAGTCTGTGGCTTCGAGCATTGCTTTTCGCTGGACACCTCACACTGATGTCACAATTGACAATAAGCCAGCACATTCCAAACACTTTTTGGAATGTGCTGGAAACACTTTTATTCCACCCGCCATGTGTACGACTTCTACCGGTCCAGTTTTCATGCAAACACACGCACCCTGTTGCTTCTAACTCTGCACTTGTGGTCACTTCACCCTCAGCCTAAGAGATTGACACCATGACACACTATTCTTCATACCACCCTTGTGGGATTTGTCTGCTAAAGTTGGCACTCTCCCTTCACTCCCCCCCCCACATTACAATTATGCGCAGCATACGAAATGAGAGCCATACTCTGCTCAGGCCAGCTGCATCATGACACCAGCAAGAAGCACCACCCAAGCACTCATGGTAAACCAGCAAGGGTGAAACGCACGGTCTGGTGTTTTTGACGGTCCATTAAAGTGCCTCTCAATTAACGGTTACATCTGTACAGAAATCTCAATTATTTTTTACCACCAATGCTTTCTTTCCCTTTTTCATTTTTAATGGATCACCCAGGTTTTGTGGGATATGTGCGATTTTTGTGGCATATGCGTTTTTGCCCACGAATGAATTTTTCATTTTTAGTTAACTAGTGGTCAGCAGTGAGGCTTGCTTGATTTCTGTGGCCCATACATGCTAGGAGGTTTTGCGTACATAGGAAAAACGAGTTTTGGTTTCGCCCCATTGCCAACTAGGCGGCAAGTACATGAGGGTCTGCGGCGTTGCTGTTCGTAAGCTATGTAGCCATTGGAACACGAGATAATGCCCTTACCAAGAATAGTAATATAATTTTAAAGTAATGCTGCATATGGCTAGGCAAAACCACAATTCATTTGTAATCTGTAGGCTTGTGCGAATAGTGAATTTTAGGTGTGAAGCGAATTCGAAGCGAATAGCGATTTTGATCTAATAATATCGAACCAAATTCGAATGGTATCTATGAAATATAAAAAGAAGGAATATTTATCATGACCTAACTAACCTGCACATTATTTCTTTTGAATTGAAATAGGGGCTCTATGCAAATGCCATTTTTTTTTTGTTCAGAGGAAGCCGATACAACCTTGATTAGTAGTTTCGGTAGAATGCGAGTGATAACCTCTAAGATACTTAACGTTTTAAAATTTATTATACTTAAGCATATAAGCCATCATAACAAGCTTAATAAAATGAAGAATTGATTTGAAGGTAACATATTTCTTTAAAGGGGCCCTGCCACACTTTTTCAAGTAGCCATGGAGCCAGTAAACATGTCACGAATTTGCCGCTGCAAAGTTTCTAGAATCAGTCCAGAACTAGCAGAGTTCCGAAAATTTGTCGCACGCTGCAATTGCATTCTCTCTTCTCGTCCCGACGAGGAATTCCTCCCTGCTTCTCGTCCCGACGAAGCAGGGAGGAATGGCACGGTGAAAGAAAGTACGTCACACGCACCTCGTGACTTTCAGCACCTCTTTTTTTTTCTTCGAATATGCGGCTTTTCAGTGCGATCGCGCACGTACTCGTGGACAAGCTGCGGCCTACCACGGCGGCCTCGGTAACAACGAGCGCGCCATGCTCGAATCAGCCAATGGCTGTGACTAGAGCCGTATATTTTTTTTTGGCCGTGACAAGTGATTTTTGAGCTTGTAGTGTCATTTGCCAAGGGAAAAAGCAATTGCCAGCTTTGAAAATTTATTGTGAATTACAGGCCGTGTACGGCGCTATATAATTTGCCACGCGTGTTCTCGGTAGCTTCGACTACCGATGGGCCACGTTTTCCGACTATGTTCAGTAAGTGTTGAAGGCCTCTTTAAAACTTAAAGGGAGGCTTCACGTCAAAACAAATTTCCCCTGAACAGGTGCTTTCACGGCTTAACTTTCCCATATTGCAGTGAAACCACCTTTAGAAGCAATAACATGCGGTATACATTTATTTGTTCATTGCGAATACTTCGAAAATATTCAATAATTTCATTTCGAACCGAAGAAAATTCGTATACTCTTCATTCGAATATTCAAACCTGTTTGCTAGACAACAAGAGGCTCACCTGTCCATGCCCCGCCCATGCAGACGATCGCAGAGGTGTCCAGCCCTCGTTGTCAGCGTGGTCAGGATTGGCACCGGCCTTGAGAAGCAGAATAACCACATCTGCATGACCTTGCCGCGCAGCTGCACGAGATTAGTAAAGAACGCTTACATATTCGAAAAATGGCACAGAGGCTACCTCTGCAAAGACACACCACTGCCAACACAAAGCGACCTAAAAAATTCACAGCCCTTTGACTACTGCGAACATGAAAGCCAGCAAAGTTGCACTAATGGTGAGTTTACTGTTGCAAATCTTGCTTTAGTGAATTTGCTTTAGTGAACTATATTGCCACAGGTAAAACGAAACAGAAAGCCAGGAGTTGATGTCTGCTCCAGAACCAGAGCAGCAAAAACATCCTTTGCTTCCAAATGTGTATGTGGGTAGTTGATAAATGACCTCATTAATTTAAAGTCACTGGGACTGTAAAGGATCTGCAAATTGAGCACAAATTCAAATTAACAAAAAGTACGATTCAAGGAGCTTTGAATAATTGAAAGTAATCAGCAGTGGTCGTCTGCTGTGCTGCCTAGTTCGCAGCTCTAAGGGGTATGTTTTCCAGCAATACCTGGCTACCTGGCCATAATTGTGCAGCAAACAAAAAGGAACGAATAAAAAAGCTCGTTCTAAATAAGTTCTTGTGATCAACTAAAATGTGCACCTGCAGAAAATAAAGCATGCTTCACTGTAATACATTGATAACATGCGGGCAGCACGTCACCCGCTCATCCTAGCATCAGCTACCATTTGCCCATTCTTTATGGCAGTGCGCAAATTGTTGGAGCAACCGCCAATCGGAGTTTCGCATACATCGCAAAATGTGTCAGAATGACCTTTATTAATTTCCTTCTCTTCCCAGAAAGAATGGGTAAATAATGATCGATGCGCAGACATTGCAAAAGGCATGCAACGTGCTCCCAGCATGTCGCTGCTGTATTGCAGTGAAGCATGTCTTCTTTTTCGCAAACACACATGCAAGCAAACTACTTTTTCGTTTTTCTTTTTTTTTTTTTTTTTGCACAGCCACAAGCGAGATAGGGGTGCTCCTCCAGTCACTTATTAGTATTGTCCAGGGGGTCGTGTCGCAAATGAAGGAAGCACACTGGACGTTCAGATTAAACTTTTATTTGGCCGAACTTGTAGCCTCGTAAAAAAAAAGTCAGATTACATCAAGGCTCTGATGGCCGCGAGCAGAGCGTCGGCGTCGATCGGAAAACTGACAAGCGGTGATGCGCGTCGGTATTTATACACGTGCCATCGAATATTCTAGCGTTATCGCCAGCGGCCACATAGGTTTCAGAATAATCTGTAATGTTTGCGAAGTGCGCGTAATCTTATCCAAATTATGTGATATAGTCCCGAAGCTTCTCGTACAGTGCAGGCGCACTTTGCGCTGAGAATTACGTACGGTGTAATGGGGTGATAAGAAAACTAGAGGAAGAAACGTGGCAGTACTGTACAATGCATCGCCTGGTGGATCCTAAGGGCCATTGTTTCGGTGATTTTCAGCGAAATTGGAATTGGGAATTGGCACATGGCACCCAAAGTTTTCGAATCAACATACTGGTGCCAGCCGTTGCTACAAATTATCCACTCAAACTCACATTGTAAAATATAGGACTACAAAAATCCTTCAAGTTAAGCGGAATTTCAAATAACCGAGCTCAAATTAATTAGGTTTCACTGTATGTGTCATTACACCCTCTCCCAAAGAAGCAACGTCTCGATGCACAAGGAAGAAGACGCTATACAATCGAAAGACATGTGTTGTAACACAAAATAACTCAGTCAGCTGCTTTCAAACAAAATGTGAAACAAAAATGAGCAGAAAACAACAAATAAAAAATAAGAATGAAGGAAACAATATGTTGTCAATACAGTATAAAGTCACTCAACAGTCGAGTCCCCACATCAAGAAAAGTATGGTTTCAGTATAGAAGCATGAACGACTTCAGTTTGTGGAAGCCGACAGGAGTTTCTTGAGGTGACTTCTGGGAGAACCTCTTAGGTTACTTCACTGAGTCGCCGTAAAACCTTGTAGGACTTGAAATAGCGACGCGGCAACTTTTCTGACCAGCCGCATTGTCGCAAGGGGGTCATACCCACACTTGATCGCCTGGGTTGAAGGTGATTTCTCGGTGATCATAGTGGTGTGGGTCTACAGATTGGCGACACTGTACACAGCATTGTGCGAGTTAACGGGCTTCTTCAGCATGTTGAGCGAACATGGCTGCGTACGTGAACATTCCCGGGTTGTCGGGAAGAAGCATGGCGTCGAGCATTGTGATTACTTCTTGCTTCTGCACAAGGCGAAAGGGCATCAAACCTTTTTAACTGAGGTATTATAAGCAAATGTGACATAAGGTAGGATATCGTGCCAGTTCTTGTGGTCAATAGTTATACAGATTGACAGCATGTCTGCGATAGAGCCCATTTGTATGAGGTGATATGCCATTATTTTGCGATGTTCTGTGCCACTTAGCCTGGGGTTCCTGTAGCATCTCTGCAGTGAAAGCTGTCCCACAATTTTTTATGACAACAGCTGGAGAAAATGGGCTACGGTAGCTTTTGTTAGTGCCTTTGTTTCTCAGTATTGCCAAGTTCCTTTTCTTAAGTTTTGTTATCGCCCTGTTACACTACGTAATTTTCAGCGGAAACCGCGCTTGCAGTGTTTGAGAAGCTTCAGGACTGTAGTAGATCATTTCGATGAGATCACGCGCACTCCCCGAGCTATACAGATTATTCTGAAACCTCAGTCACGGCTAGCGATAACGCTAGAACCTTCGATGGCAATTGTATAAATGCTGATGCGCTTCACCGCTTGTCCGTTTATCGACGGCCGACGCTCTATTCGCCGCTATCAGTGTCAGTGTCCTGCTGTAATCTGATTTTTATTTTGCGTGGCCACAAGTTCGGCTCGAATAAACAGTTTCATTTTCGACCCGAAGTCTGCTCCCTTCATTAATTCATGTCGCCATGACAATATCGTATCAAGTAACTAGTAGCAACCACTATCCAAAGGAAGACACAGCGAATGATCCCAGCAAGTCCACGCCAATCTGATGAAATGGCGCCTTCAATATGGCTATTGGGCGTAAGAGTACTACTGGTTGTGCAGATGAAGTCTTACATTGTTGGCATTCCCAAAATGAGCTAACGTAGTGCTTCACAGTTTTCGAGAAGCTTGGCCGATACAGGGGTGGAACAGCAGTTGTCGGAGCAGGCAGAAGTGCCTTTTGTAGCAGGCTTGAAGCAACCACAAAGACGCTTTGGAGCAGGCTTAGAGCAGCCAGAAAGGCCTTCGTGAGCAAGTTCGAAGCAGTCAGAGAAAACATTCAGATCAGATGCAGCTATGTTTCACAGCAAGTAAGAAGCAGCATTCATCCAACGCCACATTTTTCAGACACCAAGCTGAATTGTGCAATAGCACAATTTAGCCTTATTATTGTGATAGCAATTATGATAGGTTTTTGCCATCGCCATCATGCCCCGCATAAAGTCCAAATTGATAACATACCCCGGTCATTGTGTGTTTTGCCCACAGGTAAAAACGTGCGGGCGGGGTGACGAACACAGCTGAAGCAGGGATTAAACGAGCCATCACCGCTGCTCTAAGAGCGCATGTGATAGCATCACTCTGCTCGGAGGCCTCCCGGCAGAGATAAAATGCCACACCTGCATGAACAGGCACGAATTACGCGAGGAGGTGCGGATGCTGCTTGAGCAGCAACTGTGACCTTTGCTTCTAAGGATGCAGACAATCACTGGTGTGCACGCTGGCTCGGAATCATATCAACAGGCGATCCCCTTCGACAGGCTGTGCTCTCATGGCAAAAAGACTGCACGAATAACGTTGCTCTCCCAGACGTGGCTATAGTGTCGTACACCAGCGTTTTGCCGAGTAACGCGTGATCGGAGCAGCTAGCCTCACTGCGTATAACATTAGAACAAGTAGCTATCACACTCGTTGCTGAACCCTCGTGGTGCAACTGTAACTTTCTTGCTATGTGAAGCCGCCCATTTTTTAAAACCTGGACGTGCAAGCATCAACCACAGCGCCCATAAGTGCCGTAATGCAGCACAGTGACGAAATGAATGAAAATATGTGCGTGCGCTTGAAAAGCAGTCATGTGCACCTGTCTTTACTATACTGTTCTAGAAGCCTGACACCACCCCCGCTTTCCTTGGAACACCGCTACTACCATCCTTTTTTTTTTTCTTCATTTTTGGACAATTCCATCAAGTTACAAAAAAAAATTAAAAGTCTCACCCAAAGGGTGAAGATGTTCTCAAATCATAAATTGTAGATTGCCACTATCTCTAAACCCACTCACTACATGATTTCCATAGGACCAAAATTGGCGCACGTAGGATGACTGACAAAATCACTCCATGGTTTTGAGGCATTACATACAGGGCTTATGAGAGAAACCAAGACAAGAAAAGTATATATATAAATAATAGGGCATTCTAAAATTAGAGGTTTAAAGAAAGTTTGCCTCTCGCTCAAGTGGTGAGATTGCTGGTACATGACAGCTGATTTGAAGCCCATGGTATTGATTCCCAGCTATGGCGGCCACAGTTCAATAGAAGCAAAAATGCCAGATTTAAGCTTATGTTCTTAAAAAACACCACACTGTCAAATTTCCTTGAACCCTCAAATATAGCATCTCTCAAAATCATATCCTGGTTTTTGGATGTTAACACCAACAATTATCATTATTATTATTATCGATTATTAGAGTTGATCTCGGGTATATTTAACTAGAACGGGATTGCAAAATAGTTCGATATATCAATAGTTTGGTATAAAAAATATGCATATTTAAGGCTTGTATTAATGCGCAGCAACTCTCCAAATGGCTTTCAAAAATCGTAATAAGCATTGACGTGACGATTAGCTCACAGTATTGTTAAAAAAAGCAACAACTTCTATTGCAAGTTACCACACTTTATTTCACGTAAAACAGTCTGCAGACTTGTCTTTTGCTCGTCGTCATGTTTATCAAGTCATCCTCATTAATCGAGCATAGAAACTTTCAAAATAGGCAAATTCAGCCCCTTTAGCCTCAACAGCGATGATTCACAGTGTGCAACGATACAAGCTCTGTAGCATCATCAAAAGCTCTTTAGTGGCAGCGTCAGCATCTTCATAACCACATGGGTCCACTTCCGGGGCACTGGCAATGTCAACCATGATATTAGCATCGATGCTGTCAGAAACAGCGACGATGTTTTCAACACTGATGAAGTCGCTTTCTGAGCTCCCATCCGAGGTGGTGTTTGGAAATGCTAATAAGTAGCGAAATTCACTGAGGCACCATACGCCGTTGTCGACTAAGATGATGCACACTTCAGTCGTCACCTGCCACTAAAGTCCATGAGGAAACTGCACGATGGTGCCTCACTTGATGTCATTCCAAGCCCCAGCCATTTCTTTATCGCTACGAGTTTATCGCTACTTCGACCTTCGATGGAAGATTCAACTGTAAAGAAGTGAGACCTACTTAAGTGCACAAGCCGAAGGTGACAATGCTGTCCACAAACAACAAACGAAAGGACTATGTACCCACCTTTGATACATCGGCAATGGCAATGGCACTAAGGTCTTTGTAGCAGCAAGCAAAAAAAAAACATAGCCTCCAAAATATGTATTTTATAACCAAAAAACGCCAAAAATATGTCACTAGGTTGCGAATGTCGAAGACCATGCCCTTTGTGCCTGCATGCCATCATGTGCGAACAAACAAGAGAATGCACACATCGCGATGAGGCTGCCAAGTCACTTTGCATACATGTCATTTTGGGTGCCCTCGGCAAATGGCCCTTCTGAAAACACTGCGTCCGCGCATTTAACCTACAACAGATTGCGCATCACGTCACGGTGCACTCACAAATGCTGCGCAACCAACAAATTTCACTGCCTTCTCATCACCTGCACGCGAGGAGAAATCGAATATTTAGAACATGCCCGGAAAATTACCAATACTTGTCAGAATAAATGCACTTTCTGGAGTTCGGCTCAGCGCAGCGTTGGATATATCGAATGTTACGCTCTGCAAAAGTTGGGTATACAGCAAAACCTTATCAATTCTAATTCAGTTATTTTGAAATCCCACTTAATTCAAAATATTTCCGCAGTCCCGTATTTCACATTGTAAGTCTGAATGGATAATTTGAAGTGGTGGTCAGCACCAGTCCAGTTAATTCAAAAACTTTGGGTTCAATGTGCCGATTCCCGATCCCGATTTTGTCACTAGTCTACAAAAACGGCGAGGCTTAAGAGCCATGATGCATGGCAATGTAGCGATACGAATGAGTGGCAGCTGAAGCACCCTAGCCACGCTACTTCCAGCGCAAAAAAGAACAGAAAAAAAAATTTGCATCTGCGGAAAACAAGACGTGCTTCACTGCAGCACAGCAGCGACTTGTAGGCCACATATTGCATGTTTCTCGCTACATGAGCGTGTCATGATTTATCCGTTCTTCCTGGGATTGTAAAGAAAATTAATAAAAGACAGCTTGTAGGCATTCACAATGTATGCGAACCTTCGACTGCCGGTTGCTCCGGCAGTTTGCGTACTTCCACTGCTGGCGGAGCTCTTCCCTGCAACGCCTACTTCAAAAACAAAGTTCAAAAGCTTCAATAACCATCTTTTCCAGCTGCAACATATTGTGAGCTCTGTCACACTGGCCATTATTAAGGGGGCAGACTGCTCTTTGGGACCAAAAGTGACAAAAAGATTCATTTTTTAAAATTGACATATTTGGTTTCTGCAAGTATTTTTCTATCTCTGCAAATTTTCACGCACCAGGAAGTAGTAATTTTTTTGTAATGTCATTTTAACTGTCCAGATTCTTGGTGCTGTTAACATGCAGAACCTGCAAAAAAATGGGGAACTGACTTTGAGGCTTCTTTATAATTTCCCAGCACCTTTGTCTAAAGCTCTACTACCAATTTATGAGCGCCTTCATGAGGATTGCCAAATATGCGCACCATGATTGTTGCTTTTTGAAGAAACTGAGTGTTTTCAGTTTTTTCCATTTTTCTCAAAAAAGTAAATTTGTGAGTATTCAACTTTGAGGCCTCAATATCTCTGCAGCTAGGGCAGGTACAACAATAATTCTATTTGCAGTGGAAACCTGTATGTGTGTAGAATGCAAGTATGGGAGCAGAATTCAGAGCACATGCCTTTTTAATTAATTACTAATTAAAATAGTAACACAATTTCAACTGCTTTTGAAAATGTATAGTTCATTTTGCTGCAAAATAACCAATAAAGGTATAAAAACAAAAACCTCTTCCATACTTTCACTCTATAGTCATTAGTCTATAGTGGCATATCCTAAATATCACTTTTAATTAAGCACTTTTTTTCTATGATGCCCTTAAACAATAGGGGGTGAACTTAAGTTATCTCAGCAACAAAGTGAGTTACAGGAAAACTAATTACATATTTGAAGTCAGCAGAAAAAACTGTATAACCCTGTGCAGTTTTATCAAGATCACTGAAGAAATAAACAAAAAATGTCTAAAACCAGTCTGCCCCCTTAAATTATTTATTTTACGAGAAAGAACGGCGAATGGTCACATCATGACGTGCTGAAGTGGCCAAAAGTGGGCGACATGCTGCTCGCGTGTCACAGCTGTAATGCCGTGAAGCACTGCTTGTTTTCTACAGGCACGTATTTCAGTTGATCATGAAAGTGTTTTCTTTTTTTCTTGTGTGTGTGTGTGTGTACGTGTGAGTTTTCCGGTGACAGCAGCAAAGGCTGCGGTTCCTCCATATTTGCGGAAAAGTAAGACCAGCTATTGCGGAAAAATCAAGACTACTGGAGTCACAAACTAGCCAGCACAGCAAACCATCAGCCCTGATTACTTCAAATATTTGCTAGTTCTTTGAATCACACTTTTGCATGTTTTTTTTATTCATAAACCCGCCTGATTCAAAGATTTCATGCGGCTCCGGTGACTCTGAATTAAGGAGGTTTCACTGTACATGTGAAAACATTCCCATGCTTTTGCATGGAAAAATCAAGAGGACTTTTCAACTGTTCAATATGGCAAATATTTCTATATATCAAAGTTCAATATACCCAAGATCAACTGTAGTATTATTGAAAATGTTTGTTTTCAATGTTCATGTACAAAATGACTTGTATCTGGGTGATGAAAGTTCAGGATCGCGTGAATATTTTGCGTGCCCCTGCAATAATGGCACAACTGAAACTCTACTGTATATGTGACGAACCTAAATTCAGTGGTGTCTGGCCATTCCTGTCGGCCAATTCAAGCGAAGATTTGGCATGCAGGAGTCGCTCTACCAGTGCAGCGTCTCCTTCATAGGCGGCAGTGTGCAACAATGCCCGCTGGTTGGCATCCGTGTCGTCAACCGATGCCCCCGAACCCAGCAGAGCATCCAGAGGGTCTGGAGGCATTGAGGGAACAGGCGAGCCTCCCTCGTCCGATCCGGCCACACTGGCAGTTGGAAGTCTGGCACCCGCTTCCAGCAAGAGTCTGCAAATGTATGGGCAAATATTCCAATAAACAAATGGATGTTTTATTTTGCCACACGTAACTCCGTGGTTTCACTGCAGCGAAGAGCCGCTAGGCCATGAAACTGACAAACAAAGAAAAATCCGCACTGCCACAAAGCAGGACTTCAGGGCTAAAATCACACATCACCAGAGCCCAAGTTTTTTCAAGTTTCAAGGAGTGTTGTAACAGTTCATGTGCGTTAAGTTGAAATTTAAAAACGCAGCTCATTTTACCACTTCTAACTTGGACCATAGTACTATTCGAAACATGCTACTATTCAAAGTTGATTTCCCTCTAAATATTTCAATTGACATATTTACTCTCGTAATGAACATCAAAATTTGGATTTTTTTCTCCTGCATAATAAACGCAACCCCTAAATTCATCTGCTGCAGTCCCACTGACTTACATCTGGCGCCTCTTTGCCCTTTAGATCTTTTCCTTTTTTTTTAATTATTACGCCGACCCCCTTCGGCCACCTTGGATCGCTCAACCTTCATTCCCCCCCCTTCCACGCTGCCGTCCGCGAATCCTCCTATTTGAAAACATCTCGTTCAGTGTCCCCGAAGCTTGAGCTTATATAGTCTCAGGCACTGCCCCACTGTGGGGAACTAGTTTTTTATGGCATTTAGGCGGGCGTCTTAAACTGATGCAAAATCGTTCTGATTTAACGATGCTAGCATTAATTATATGATGTGTTAGAGCATTTACAATTCGATTTCGGCATTACCAGATGCAAACTTACAAATGATTGCAAAAAAGCCACAATGGATACTTCCACTGTCAGTGGTCCTTTAAAAACCTCGTGGTGGAGCTTTGTGGCAGTGTGAATTTCCTCTACATATGTATCTTCACAGTACAGCACTCCTCCACTGCAGTGAAACAACCTTTACAAGAAGGTTGCATACCGGTTATTGCAGTTTAGCTCTTTAATAAGAGACACAGATGAAGAGACAAATAGTCATAAGTAGAGGCCGGATTTTTAAGCACTAAGAAAGTGTGTTTTAGGCGCCAAAGACAGGCAGGTAAAACACTGTTTGAGGCCCTCAAAATCGCGATCACAATACATGTTCCTTGCCAGCCTCTCCTAAAGTGCACGTACTGACTGATCTATCCCACAGAAACTGTAAATACACAACAGAGAACGCCGAAACGACACAACATCGATGGTGTGTGTGCACGAGCAGGCTGGGCCCTGTCATGCACACATGACCTTGCTTACGCATGATGTTCTTGGTGCGTATGCATCACGTGATTGTCCAGCCCCTATTCCGAAGAGAGCAGGGAAGGAATTAGGCTCGCGATGACTACATGGGACGAGAGGCAAGAGATTCAGGCTTGCTTCTTTGCATTATACTTTGGTGACTCGTAGCAAACCAATTTGAACAATCGCCACAGTAGAACGCTTTTCATTGGGCATGCAAGAACTTTTAGTGTCTAACTACAACTTATTACGTAGGCTAAAGAGGGGCGCTTAAAAAGTAAATTACAAACAAAACAAAATTTGCGTGCACATCACACTTTTTACCCGAAGGAGCTACAGCAGATGTGTTACAATGTCAAAGAAAACATGCCTTCATTGGCACAACGCACTTTGTTCTCTTTATAAGCCATTTTTATTCTGTCATCAAAGTACAAAAAACGAATAAATAGAAATATTATATTTCATACGACATTCTAAGATCTTAATTACCAGTGCCGAAGAGGACTGTTTAGGTACATTCGTTTTCGTATGCGAGTTTTACCATGAAATGCTTGACATAGGAGCTTTAACTGCAGTTTAATTCGACGCGGTGATGATAATTCCCATCCTGGTTCATTTTTCAAATTGTTACAGCTATCATTTCTGAGTAAAGGCTTAGGACAAACCTTGAAGTCCTGTTCTGTGTATTTTTTCATGTTGGTCACTTAAAGAGATATGACAAGGAATCTCATACGAAACAAGCGTAATCAAGCATACGGAGAATGTATGCTAAATACACCGTTGATTGTAACCAAGCCGCCGCCTGTCTCGGGCTGCGCTGTATAAAGCATAACGATTTGGCGACCTTCGCCACCACTGCATCAATAAGAGCATTCCATGAGTGGCCCTTTATGGTTTTTCATTCGTTCTCTAACTACCCGCGGCTGCCCAAAAAAAACCTGCTCTCCATTTACCCCCGCAACACCAGGTTTTCAGGGTGGTTATTCAGTTGCTTCAGGGCGCTAGACAACTGTCTGTAGAAGGCGGTCGCCGCATCCTCGGCTATAGACGTTACTTTTATTTTCTTACCCCATCTTTAATTCTCCCTCCTCCTACCCCTGCAGACGCTGAGACGTGCTTCCACTTAGGGCTACAGAAACAGCATTTTTTTCACTCCTTATGCTCCTCCTCCAATCGCTCGCAGCTTGTCAGCTTTGTCTTTGTTGAACCTTATAGTGTTTGGAAATATCAATGTTGTCTTTTTTTACATGAATAACGGCTTCACACCACGCTTGAAAACAAAATTTGGGCTTGAATAGCGCTCGTATATGTGCTAATTTGGAAAATAGGCAATTATAGGCACTTATAAGCATTTAGGCACGAACAATCAAATAGGCAATTATAGGCACTACAAAGACACTATAAAAGCCCTTCTTGGCCTCTATAATTCGTGCTCACATATCAAAATGGCACGATAGAAATGCAAGGAACAAAATAGGCATTTGCCTATAATCCGGTCTCTAGTCATAAGAGGCACAACTGTGCCTGCATTAAAACAGGGGCTGATAAGTAAATGCAACCATGCATGCTGCCAATAAGAGGTACCTCATATAAAAGACAAGAATATCTCCCCAGTGCATGTCTTTTATAAAAAGGTTAAACTACCAACACCAATTCGTTTACCTTTAATACTTCACAATTTCCAATTCCTTAAACTCAAATCAAAAAGAATTTGAATACTGTAATATTTGTTCAATTATTTGAAGTGCTCGTATATTCACACAATATTGCATTAACATTATATTGGATTATTTGTCGTGTTAATGGCGATTCACTAGATTTGGCTGGGAAGCTCACTGTGGTATAAAAGCAACTAATAAATGGACAACTATTTGATGACAGTGTCCGTGCATTGCGTGAGCGCGGTTCGATTGTGGAATTCCACAAGTCCCACACCTGCAGATCAAGGCACCTAGACTATCGGGAGTTAAGTAAACCAAGAAAGGAGGAGATGACTTCACGACAAGAGAAAAAAAAAATGATCACGTTTTCATTTGTTACTACTTTAGGTGGCAGTAATATTTTAACAAACAGCTCTGTATGAATGCAGTAAACTTTTCAAACCAGTTCTCATAATTATAGCACGCGTGTGGAATTACTAATGCACGCACGCAACGTAAAATGTGCTATGACCCGTAAAATCTAATAGCCTCATCCCAAACTTAGCCCACTTCACTGCATAACATTGTATGACAGCAAAGCTAAGTTTGAGTGCGCTGCAGCTAGATGTTATTGTGAGTTCCTCGCATAGATATAGATAAAAAACTGAGCTGTAAATAACCAAAAGGCCAGACAAACACGGCACCCTTCCTTTACACTAATGGGTAGAGGAGAGGCTTCGAGGCAAGCTGTTAAGGTTTCCCAAGGCCAGAAAATTTCCACAACTGCCGTCCTTTGTCAGTGTGCTTGATTGGGCTGATTGGTGCACACTAAATGATGAATAAAACTGCACTAAAGATGGGATGTGTCTGCGTCTTTTTCTCGTCTCATCTTTAGCACTGTTCTATTCTTTGTTTACCATCCTCTGTTGTTTTCACTTTGGGTGCGGTCAGGGATCAAATTTATGGCCCTGCTCACACAATTCAGAGGACTGGTAAGAAATTCGAAGTCTTTCTGGCAAATCAGGAGAGTTGGCAAAGCATGCACTCGTAAGAAATCTGAATTAACAAATCTTTTCCGTATCACACAGCAACAACTTTAAGTAAATATTGAAAAAATATGAAAAGACATTCCACCAAGCCCTTTGTAACCTTGCCGTTTTTAGCTAGCTAAGTGGTGGCTAAGGCTTCTGTCTGCCCCTCCAGCACACCTCCTGGTGCCACGACCAATGAGCTCGTGCTCTGGCTGCCACCCCAGCTTTGCATTGCATTTTCGATGTACAAAATACCTGAGCACAGCCGGGTCCCTGGGGATGACCACACTGCCCACACTAGGGCAGAAGGCACACTCCAGAGGCACCCCTGAGTAGAGCAGCCACAAAGTCAGGTGCTGGGGCTGCACAGCATCACAAGCTGGCAGCCGCAACAAATGGTGGGCCAAGTCTTGCACCTGCACAACACGACAGAGGAACAAAAAAAAACATTGCATTTCACGCAGCAGACTCTCGACATTTCTTTGCAAGTCATGTTCCTGTTATACTTATTTTTATTTTGAATTTTACATAATTGTGATGTGTGGTGGACACCCTGTTTCACTGTGTCACCGATAGGGAGCTGAATAACATAATGTGCACTCTGTGGCTGCTGTCCCACCGTCGTACGTTTCTGCCCTAATTTTCGTTTTTTTAGCAGGGTTAACTGAATTAAATTTATTAATTATTCAGTTTTTTCTGCAGATTGTAGATCTTTAAGTAGACTTTTTTTAAAGGCTTTAGAACAAAAGTAATGCTATTTCTAACAGCATATGTGTTATGGTGCTTTTGGCAAAATTGCTTTTCAAACACAAAGTATGTGGCAAGAGAGCGGATCTAGCTGAGAACAACTACTATCGATCAAGAACAAGGGTGGGTTAAAAAATTATACCATAAGAAAAAAAAAAAGAATTTGCTCACAGCAGTTTGAGCTTTAGGCATTTAGCTTCATACAGCAAAAAACGTGACAGCTGTAGCTATCTTAATGCTTAAAAAATTGTCACGAGTAAAAGCTTGTTTTGAAAAAAATGCTAGCAAACAGATTTTGAGCAACGTTTAATGGATGACATTTAAATATTTTTGCTATATAATAAGTAGCCACCAAGAACATAATCTGCCTGCCTGCTGCTTACTGCAATGTGTTGTTAGGCTTCACTATTCTGAAGAAAGGTTAAGGACGCAGACAAAAAAAAGAAGGGGACAAGATAGAGTGTCAACTTGCACCTAACTTTATTTGAGAAAAAAAAAACATCCACGCATTGCAGCATCTGACCCTTTGGGGTAAAAAAACATGCAAGGCCGTCTGTACCTTGCGCAGTGCTTGCGTGGTCTACGTAATTAAACTGGACACTGCGTTAATGACACGGCACAGGAACATGAGCTTTCAATAAAAAAATAACATGAATGCCCATTTATCTATGCACTGTGAACCTTGCATATGTGGGCTGGACCTGACAAATATTTGCATGCATGGAAGGAGCGAAAACACTATGGCACGTGAACTTTTGGAAGCATATTTCAATGTAAACAAGATGTGTGCATCAGTGATATGTTTTTCACCTTGCATAAACAAGCAATGCAATTATTTTAATTTTTTGCTATTGTGATGCCAAAAGCTTGAAATTGTTCACCAATGTTTTGCGCAGCTGTAACTGCACACATGTCTGCACGCTTATTATTTTTAATAAAATCGGCCGCAAGTGGACACTCTATCTTCTTTTTTTTTCTGCCAATGTGAGTTACGTCCTCCATCTTTCTTCACAATGCTGCAGCATACGTCATTCAGAACTAGCATCTCATTAAAACAACCCTCTTTTTTTTATGCTTCTTAATAAAAATATACCTTGTCATTGTTATAAATGGCTGCAGGAGCTGAAATCCAAGGTGTAAATAACTGGGCCAGCATTTGTGAAATATGATAATTTTGCTATATTACAAAAATACTATATCCAGAAAATATTTTTTTTTGTGATTTTTCATTTCTAAGACCCGTGCCCCCAAATGAGATTTTCGCTTGTAACCTATATGTCCTGCAATTGTGACATACGTGAAAATAAACTTCATTTTTAATCTACTTTCACAAATTAGTGTCAATTCACAGAATCTTCAAGCTTCCCCTGCAAATGCCCTTCCCAACTAATTTTCCGTGTGGACCCCAATTGGCTTGTGTCAGCTTCATGGAACTAGGCCCAAGGTTGTCGAGCCCTACTATAGCTGATGTGGCCAAACAAAAGAAGATTGTGCTTGTTATGCCATAAAATTGAAACACTGCACAGGAGAAAAAAGAGCCCATGCACCACCTGTGTGGGCGGCAGCTGTGGGCCTCGCAGTGTCTGCATCATGGCAAGCATGGCGTGTCCCTCAGCCGCATGGCAGAGGTACTTCTGGGTGCAATGTTTCACATCGAGTAGCCACTCGGCAAAGCTGTGGTGGAAGAGCAGCAGACAGCCGTCCTCACGCTCAATGAGCAGTCGCGACAGCAGGGCTAACCGTCGACCGAACTCGTCGTGTGTGAGCAGTTGGTTGCGGGTCCACAGGCACAGGAACACCTCGTCTGCCGTCAGCGGTTGCGCGGCTGCCAGTAGCACATGCAGAATGGGTTGCACACGTACAAACTGCCGCCGCTGCCAAAAAAAGAAGACAATGCAATCCTCTTCATCTATACAGTTTCTTACAATTACCTAGAAGAAAAACTGGCAAGGCAATGCTGTTGTATGCATGAAAACGCTCGCACATATTTTATTAGAAACAACATCATTTACGGCGGACCCCAACACCTGAAAGAAAGGTCCTTGCGTCACAATAGTCTATTTTTAAAGGTGCACTGACACAAAACTTCGTAGCCAAGAGAGCCTGTGAGATGAATTCCTAAGAACATGCATATATCATTGGCAAAATATCAACAGCGAATGCAACATGAAGACATTAACATGAATTTCGAAGTTTGCTTGTGTGATGGAGTGCTCTGCACCGCATTTTGCGGTGACATCATAACCACCATTTTTCTTTTGCCGCTTTTGATCCAGCAGACTACTATTTGTAATGCAAATGAGTTCTGAGGAGACCCGCAAGGTGGCAGAAGGGTTAAAAAAGGGATATTAGACAACCACCCATCTGTGGCACAAACCCACAAGGACTTACAATTTCCCTTTTCTGGACTACTACTTGGCAGCTGCTCGTGAATTAATGGTCATGGTGCACGCATTGAGAATGTTGTGTTTGACGATACTGCTGTCCCGTTTCCTGTTCGAACGGGCTTCATGCGGACTGTATAGAATTGCGTCACAGTTCGGTGTGCCGACGTGCTCAAGCATTGCACACGCAAGGTGGTGATATTTGCACATAGCTTGTCGTTTCTAGAGCTCTCTCAAACTGAAACTGAGACTGGTTGGTAATTAGGAGCTTGTAATTAATTCTGTCTTGGACTGATGCAAACAATGTACAGTGTTATGACCAGCAGGCCCCCAGCAACCCATTGCAGCAAAATAACACAAGGCCTAAATATGTGTTCTGGTACCGCTTTAACTAAGGCAGCACATAATGATATTAAAGTTTAACCTCGTTCGAACAGGCCTCTAGAATGAAGAGGATTTTCGTCTGTTGTAAAATGAGTACATAAAATCCAAGAACTGTTCCAACAGACTTTGTGTGCTGCTGTGCTCGAGCATTGCACACGCTAGGCGGCGATATTTGCACCTGGTGGCTTGTCGTTTCTAAAGCTCTCTCAAACCAAACCTGAGACTGGTTGGCAATTAGGAGCCTGTAAATAATTATCTATCTCGCTAACAGGCCCCCAGCAACCCACTGCAGCAAAATAACGCGAGGCCAAAATTTGTCTTTCAGCATCACTGTAACTGAAGCAGCACATAACGATAATACAGTATAACCTCATTACAACATACCTCCGTAGTGAGGCGGATTGTAGTATGTTGTAAAACGAGTATGCAAGATCAAGTACTGTTACAACAGAATTTTATGTAAACAGTTAATGGGTCTATTATACCCTGTAGTGTGCACCTATCTCACAGGAGTACAGCCACTACCGTGGGCTCGGTCTTGGTGAGCCATAGGGCCGCTTACACCGTCACCTCACGTGACTAACGCTGCCACACACGCGCGCTTGCACAACCAAGGTGTTGAGCGCAGCATAGCAAGTACACAGTACAGCTCTCAAACAGTTTGCAACACTTTACTGCCTGCGGCAACACCAAACTGAAGTACCGCACCCACTGCGAAAGGTGGCGGGAAAGCAAGAGAGGCTTATCCACGACATGGGCAAAAGTAAACACAGAGGCGTTGTGAGCACGTCTCCGCGAACAAGAAAGGCTCACGGCGACACGTCGTAGAGAGAAACAGCCCCTCAAAAAAAACTGCTGTGCACTCTCACGATAAGTGACTATAGGGCCCGATCTCTCGCACGAGGGCAAACTTGGCTCGCTCGATAGGTACAGCTCGACGTAGTACGACCATGTGCAAACACACCGCGCCACTTTTCAGCCTAGCATTTGGAAGGGGCAACGAAAGGTGAGCATTTGCCACGAACGCAAGGAAGGCACCATTGGTGAGTCTGAGCGAGCTTTAAGAACAAAGAAGCCGACGGATGGGTAAGAAAAGGCATGCTTGCTGTTCGCTGACCCGAGAGATTCTCTGACTCCTGCCGTGCGCGTGAGTTACGTCTCGAGCGCGGCTCCATAATCCACATCCGCTACCAGTTGAGAGTGTTAATGTCACTCCCGCTCTCCCAGCGTCGCCGAGCAGCGGAGGAGGGGAGAGTCATGTTAGGACACCATAACAGCAGAAATAGGCGACAAAGCCTGCGCAATGGCGACAAGCTAGCTTCAATTCCCTAAAACCGGAGATAATTAGAAGTCATAAACGGATTTACTCCCAATGGGGGCATAAAAAAATGATTTTATTCAGTTTCTGTAGCACTTTTTCTATCTGATTCCAAAATAGTGCCACAATCGATGTTCACTTTTGTTTTATTCGGTTTTCGCTTACAAACCCTGTCAGGAATGCTGAGCGCAAACTGCGTCTTGCTGTACGAGAAAGTTCACAATCACGGCATGCACAATCAGATGGCATGCAAGACACAAACACTCGAGATTATTTCAGAGCTTGCCCGACACCCAGTGGTAAGACGGGAATATTCAACGGCATGTGTATAAATGTCGACACCCTTCACCGCTTGTGAGTTGATCGACGGCCCATGCTCTGTTCGCCGCTATCAATGCCCGTGTGTTGCTGTAATCTGACCTTCAGTTTCCTGGCTACAAGTACGGCCGAAAAAAACAGTTTCATCTCAACATCCGAGTCTGCTCTCTTCGTCCACGTCATGACTCCATGACATCTGGTGGAGCTGCTGCTTCTTTGATGTTCCGGACGCTTCCGCAAAGCCGCGAACTCAGCCCAAGCGGCAAAAAAGACACCGACACTAATGTCGAACAGTGAGCAAGCCACAGGCAGAAGGGACTGCCACCAGAGTATGAGCCCCTTCCCGAATAAACCAAGCAGCCCTGTATCACGACATCGACAGCAGCAACGATGACCACTTCTGCGCAGCCTGCCCCAATTGTTCTCCGGCAGCCCAAAGAGCTAAAAACCTTTCGCGGATAGTAAATCAAGAACCCAGAAAGCTGGCTCGAAGCATTCGATCGAGCCACCACTTTCGGTGCCTGGACCACCAAACATAAGCTTTGACATGTGCACTTCGCCTTGGAGGACGCAGCTCGTACCTAGTTTAAAAACCAAGAACAAACGCTAACAATGTGGGAGATATTTTGCACGAGGTTCTACGCTACATTCATGAGCGCCGTCCGTAAGGAGAGGGCAGGGGCTCTTCTCGAAACCTGCACCCGACTCCCAAACGAAAGCATCGCACTATTCACGAAAGAAATTATTATTTACAGATACTACTGTCTCATGTTTGAGACATTGCAGGAATGGTTACAATAAACGAACAAAAAAAACAGCAGGAATAAATTTATTATTTACAGATACTGCTGTCTCATGTTTAAGACATTGCTTGAAACTTGACCAAGCTGTTTCGCCATTCAGATACAGACATGCCCGAGGACAAGTCTCATTCCTCATGCGAGGAGTAAAGCAAGAACTCTTCGCTGGGCTAATGCAGAACCCACCCTCAACAGTACAAGAATTGGTGTGGTGTCCTAATGCGTGGTCAGACTGCATCGACCTGTATCTCTCCGAAGCCAGCGCGAGCGCATTTTTGCCCTTGCTCGAGCAACCAAGCCCTTTTGTCCCGGTGTCACCATGAATCACTTGTGCCCTCGGAGACATGCTCGCGGCACTTCGTGTAGTATTTCTCTCTCGTGACGTGGATAAGCCCATTTGCTTTACCGCCGCGCTTTTGCAACGGGCTTTGTACTGTCTTTTTGGTGTTGCCGCAGGCAATAAAGTGTTGCAGCCTAGAGCAGTATCGTGTTCTCGCCATGGCGACAGTTAACGCATGCCCTGCGGCTTGCTCAGACTGAACCCACGCTAGTGGCCTTAATCCTTCGGGATACGAGTACACTACAAGGTGAGAGCCATTTTTTTATCGCGATAACAATTATATCAACACTCTCGACTCTGGATTTTGCCGTCGCCAGGGGCACAGGAAGAAATATTTTTCATTTTTTAGGGGAGGGGGCAGGCAGGCAAATGGTCATTTTGCACGATATGTGCCATGGCAAAAAAAGAATTTGGGTGGAGGATCATCCCTGATGTTCCCCCACCCCCCCTGGCTACGTCACTGGATCACCGTCATGTTTTGAGTACTGTCTAAATTGATTAACATCCTCCCGCGTATAATGTTTTGCAAGTGGATAAAAAAGCGCGAGTGGGAGCGACGAACGAGGCTAAACAGAAGATAAAAGAGCCGACGTATCTCCTTTGCATGGAGGACGGATGCGATAGCATCACTCCACGTGTCAGGCCTGCCATCGATTGTTACTCAAGCAGAGAGGAACGCACCGCCCGTTTTCAAGGATCAAAAAGGAAGTAGGACCGCAAGGGGGGGGGGGGGGGGGGGCTAGTTTAAAGGGCCCCTAAACAACCTCCAATATTTTCCCAAACATTTGAAGTAAACAAGCACATTGCATGCAGAATGCCGTCGCGATCAGCGATGCCACATGCCACAGCGCTACAGGTAGCGGGGGCGCCACATTTTTGAAAAAACAATAGCTTCTCCTTTCCAGTCCCCGCCGTTCTCGCCACTGACATGTGTGACATCACCAGTGAAACTCGATGACGTTACCACTTTCGATGCTTGCGATTGGCCGAAGGAAAACCGACGAATTCCGGTCACTCTGCAACCGTTGTTCGCACGCACCTTGCTGTTCTTGGTCATTTTGCCGCTTGTGAATCGACATCTGCGGCTCGTAACGCAACACAGGGTCCATACCAGCATGATTCGTAGGGGCCCGGGCCGGCACGACAGCAACAGCGGTTAGTCAACGATCAGTGCATCCAGATGACACACAGAACACAGTTGACGGCAAGCTTGGTTGTCGGAGTGGCGGATCGCGGCAACCGGAAGTAGACGCTGTCTCAAACAGGGCGTCTCGAACAGGGCCATGCGAGATGAGGAGGGGCACTCAGCTGACTCAGTGAGGAGGGGCCAAGCGGTTTCGGAAGAGGGTAGCGTAGGAAAGAGAGAAAGAAGCGATAATCGCGTTTCGATCATTAAATGCGCGTAACTCTGCTATTACGGCACTGTTTCGAAAAATTCGCACGACTACGTGTTCGTTATAAACTCGAGCACAACTTCTTTACCTCAACTAAATTTCGACCGCTGGGTGGTTTAGGGGCCCTTTAAGGGTGTGAAGGCTGGCGCACTATTTCGGCAGGCTTTAAAAACAGCTAGTATACGGCCCTTCTACCTTGTACTCTCAACGTGAAGTGACTGGGCGAAAGTGCTTCACTTTCTGGAGCAGCCATATAAGGGTGTGCACTGATACTTGTTTTCAAGGCGGCCACACCATTATCACACCATTTTGGAGGTCCATTTGTACGCGCCGTTCGTTGTTCACAAAATCCCACTTATTTAGAGCAGCAGAACACGTGCCTGTCGACAGTGTTGTTGGCCACGGCTTCTATCTCGTGTTAGCTACAAGCTTACGTTGATGCCTACATTAGAGCACAAGAACTTAACAAACAGTATGACCATGTTTGGCATCATCACGGCATGTCTCATTACATATTTCTGAAAACAAAAAAAAAGTACGGCAGCTGGAGCAGCCGGCTGGGCGCTCTAGACAAGTCTGATTCTATCTGTTCGTGCATCATCGTGCAAGGGGTGCTACAGGGGTCTCTAGTCATCCAAGTCGCTGTATTGATATCGAGCAATGCGCGTGCAGAAAGTTTTCTGTGCGGCGAGTAAAGGGGAAAAAAAGAAATCGTAGGCAGCATGAATACTTGCAGCAGCTATCTCACGGCTGATTTTCCTGACTTCGTCCTCGGCATCTACGACTGCCGACGATTAACCAAGTCCCCTTCTGCCCCCCCCCCCCCCCCCCCCCTCAAGAAGCGATAATTTTTTATCGCATAAATGTTCACTGTGACCCTCAGCTTGCCGACACCAAAATGTGCCACCAAATGGTTTTCCGCCTATCGGTAATGGCGGGGACCGATGTATTAGCGATAACGACTTCTGCACAGTTGCGGCGGTGCCTGAATGAATAAGCATCAGAAAAAAGCGATTGTGAGGTGGCCGGTAGCGATGACTTGGTCATTTTGACTCATCGTTGGCAACCTTATCACAGTCACCTGCAGATATCTACTCGACAGACTGACAGCGGTACAAGCGCACCATGCTACCGTTCATAAGTTTGCCATCATCGCGTCATGCGAAGCCGCTTGCGCACTTTGCTTAAAAAATTTGTCTTCTCTATGTTAAAAAGACGAACAAACTGCTTGGCGCACCCGAACACGGTCCCGAGTGAAATATGCACGAAAAACGCACAAACGTGCGCATAGAACCTGGCAAGTGACGGCGAGAGTCAAGTACGCGCTGCACACAACTAACCAGGAATGATTGGTTCGACTTGGCAGTACCACGCTTCAATGGAACGGCGTGAGTTCATTGCAAACGTGGTTTAATTCATTCATGAGCAAACAGGGGTCGCTTAACAAGCACAAAGGCGTAACTTGTCACCGGAGGCTTTGTTAGCACTTTGCAGTAAGAACACAGAAAAAAAAAAGGTTTGGTCACCAAGTGCACATTTTTATGGGCGAGTCCATATACAACAAACTGCTGATATAACAACCACTTATCGCGCCACTTTCGAGTTCGTTATAAATGGGTTCGACTGTATATACTTCACGGGTGAAGACTATCGCACATTATTTCGTATGGGTTCGCGAAATGACCACGTGATTTGCGCACCTGCTTCTTGGTGCTCCAGAATCGCAGAAAAATGTGCGCAAACTATGCGAGTAAATATAGTATTTCCATTTGTTCGATTCAATACTTCTAAGTTTGAGGACGTTTTAATTGTCTGAATTTGAGAAAGTGAACTAGAATGCTGTGATATTCAACTGAATACTTGAAGTGCTTGGATATTGGCCCATGCCTAGTAATACATTACTTGCTCCAATATTTGCTTCTTAACATATTTTGCCATGGCCGAATATTCTGGAAAAGTCGAATATGCATTTTACAGATCGATTATGCTTCAAACCTGAAACATATTCTATTTGTATTTGACAAATTGAAAATACTTGCACAACCCTACATTTATGACAACTTCTTGCATTCATTTCTCTTAGTATGGCACACACAACCGATGTGATGAAAGTCTACTTCTTTACAGTACCCGTGGTTCCTTTTACTCGCCTGGAAGAGGCGTTGGCAGAGCCACAGGTAGAGACCATTGAGGGTGCCCGGAATGTGTCGTATCTCGCGCAGCGTCACCCACCGCTGGGCCACACCGTCGAGCAGGCACTCGAGGTACAGCAGGCAGCCGTTGCTCTTGATGTGCAGCTGGTTGAGGGCTTCGGCCGTGTCGCGAGCACCCAGCTGCTGACGCAGTGCCTCCTCACCATCCAGCCGTGCCAAGATGTACTGCTGCATGTCGCGCACTACAGACGCCTTGCGAAGGTCATCTAGGCTGATCTGCACAAACACACCAGCCAAGTCTGGTCAAGTTGCCCACTACTACGAAACGTCACGACAGAACAAGATGGCACAAGGGCCAACTCACGACTGAACTATCGTTGGTGTCTGAATGTAAATACATACCCATACGTGATTACACATGAAAAGGGCAAAAACCAAACAAAAATATCATAAAAACATGCGCTCATCTATGTACAAGATTTAATTATGCTGCGTACTGCCAGCTTTACATCTCTTGCACTGGCAGAGTGGGCAGGTGTTGAGGGCACACCAAACGTCACTCCTTTTAGGGTCATAGAGCAGGATCATATAAGGGTGATGTGATGAAGAGCAGGTGGTAGTGGTCGCAACAAAACTGTAACAGCACAGAGCTTTAACACAAGTGTAGAACGGCAACAGCACGGCAGGTGGCAGCTCCTTGGTTCAGCTGCAGCTCTTCAGGAACACCAAGTGCCCTATGAACAACGTCAGCTATATCCGTAGACTAGTTCAAGGTTCACACTCGGAACTTTACACATGCTGCACAAGCTTAAAGGAAAAGCATGAACACAGAAAATAGTGCAAGTTGCTGCCTCGGTATTCCGTGAAGCCAATGTGTAAGCATGCAGATCACAAACACCATTTCTGATGAAACGGCTGCTTGTGGGCAATTGCGGCTGCCTGAATGTGCGCAAAGGGATGGCCCTTCTGTGTGCATGGGGATAGCATTCGCGATAGGCACACCTATATATTGGCAGCTTTATTTGCAAAATAAGCAGCCGGCAGTCTGCGCTATGTTATGGGCTCCCACTCTCTCTTTCTGCTTGCACAGCCCTTCTGAAGTTCAGCTGTATCAGTACAATGGAGGTTCAAATCCAGGGAACATCTTAGGCAGCTTTTGACGTAGGACTACTCTAATGGCCTCACATACTTAGTCTGTGCCTAAAACTTCAGCTATTGCATAGCTGGTCATCAGTGAACTGCAATCGCCTTATCCACATCTAAAATGTCCACAATCTTCAGGTCCGCAACATAGATTCAGCAAACGGTGGTTTTGTTAGAATCTTGTTTTACTCGCCCCATCACGAAGTAGACGTTTGTCTCTTCAAACATGCTGCAGTAAGTGCAGCAAAATGAGTGGAGCCTTTTTCATGTAGACTGTTATGCTTTTGTTCACGAGCTACCCTCATGTATCTGGCAGAGGTACGATCTTTTCCTTGTGGACAACACCTGTGAAGGTGTCCAGCAATGTGACTCTCAATTCTCAAACCAGATCCTAGCTGTGTCTTCTAGGTAGAAATACACATGATGCAACTTCTCAATTGTTGAAGGTGACAACCTAGTCGTACGTTTTCTGCCGCATTTCCAAATTCTCAAAGGTTGATCCACTGTTACAGACACTGTCACTCTTCTTTTGCCAGTGCCCATTTTGTCGAGCTCTACTGCAGATACATCGCAGTAGCGTTAAAGGGGTCCTCAACAGGTCTCACCATTTTGAGCTGGCAAGCATAATGCTTACATAGTAAGCCCACAATTGTATCTACCAAGAGTTGCATCGCTATATGCTACAGAAAAAGCTTAAATATCAGACTTTACACCATCCGCTCTTCTCGCAGGCAGTACGATCACAGAGTGTGGCCCTGCCCTTGCCAAGGTGGCCATATTTTCTCCAGTCACTTTAGTCTTGTAGAGTAGGGGTTGGTACTGTGGAGGCAATCCTTGTTTCCAGGCATTAACTTACTGATCATGGGTGGTATTGGTGTCCTCTTGATCTTACAAAAGCTGTCTCACCTTAACATGCCAAATAGCCTTCTGAAGTGGTTGGAAGCTCATGTTTCAAGAAAAAACCAACGTGTGATACTTGGTTGGGTCCGCTCGTCTAACGTTTCTGCATTATTAGGTGTGCTACAGGGGTCTGTCTCAGGGCCCCTCCTTTTACTTATATTCATCACTGACACCTGTCTTGCTGTGTTAGGTTATATGCAGATTGCTATATCTACAGTGTCATTTTCTGTAAATCAGACAGCTACTATGTGGCCTACGTCTTAGTGTTCCACTAGGCCCCTGAATCTGTCCACATGCAACCTGTTACGATTCTCGAACAAATAACTGCCCCTGATGGCAAGCTATGTTATGAAAACACCACAGTTATCCCTTGTCCAATACAATTACCTTGGAGTTACTTTTCCAACAACTTAACATTGAATGCAAACATAGATGATATTTTACGAAATGCTAGCAACACATCAAACTTCTTCAGATGTAATTTTACGCAAGCACTGGCCAGGCTGATGTAAACCCTGTATATGCCAAATATACACCGATTTATGGAGTACGCGTGTAACACTCGGGAACTTTTTACTACAGTAAACATTGATGCTTTAGAACGTTTGCAGTTGAGAGCAGCCCCTCGGTAAGAAGTGATTAAAACTTCTCAAGGAGGTCTTTCAAAGCCAGAAATACTCTAGGATGGCCTCTTCTTCATTAGCGACTATTTCATAATAAAATATTTCACAGCTTAACGAGTATTCACAATGAAAACTGCACAATGGAGCCTAGGTATACATTTACCCGTATCGATCGCACATTAAACATACATGAGTCTGCTACAAGAAGCAACATTCTTAAATATATTCATTTTTTTCATCACTGGAACCCAAAAAATTCTCTTTGTGTCTCGTGCATCATCCACATTAGTGCTTCATAGTTAAATTTCACCACAGCCTGTACGCACTAGAAAGTCATTGTTCATGCTTTCGTTTTTTTTGTAGCAAGCTGTGTATGACTTTTTTTTCTTTTTGCTGTTGTTGAATGTTAATATACATCAATGTTGATAAAGTTTTACCCTTGGTCACTTCCTTATGTAGTTGTATTATCCGTACGTACACCTCAGTGTTAACAATAATAAAAATAGTCAGTTGTGCTATTCAGCATGACAACTAGCACAGGGGAGCATGGATTTGGTTAAAAAGAAAGAATACATGACAAAGGAGATGCTCACTAACAAGCGAGTTTACTCGAAAAAGCCACCAAGAAAGCTAGGGCACAAGCCCATTGACAACAGACTCCGTCACCAAAAACAATGCCAATCTGAGAAATCCTTTTTTTTTTGTGTCAAAGTGTCTATTGTCAATGCACTTTCCTTAGCTTTCTTACAGTGAACGTTTTTTAAATAAACTCAGTTGCAAGTGAGCATCTTTTCTGTCATGTGGGTCATACATCACTCACTAAAGAAAAAATAATAAGTCACCATTCTGCCTTTTATAACACATTAGTATGTACAGCAAAACCTGCCTATAACGAACCTCCATATAACGAATCCCTTGATATTATGAAGTTTTTCTATTCCCCACCTTTACTCCATCAAAGCAGATGTATTTGCGACCTCTATGTAAAGAAGTAACATGAGGAGAGAACCTTGATATAACAAATTTTTGCCATGAACAATCTAGGAGTTTTGCCTCGGATATTGTCCTTTTGGCACGAGCCTATATCTTCCACGGTTGCCCCGTCGCCACCAAAGTGTGAAGCGGAGGCGACACACACGGCACGCTCGTGGCCCCGCTGAATCCGAAGGAAGGGTGAACGCTCGTTTTCACGAGAGTGTGCCCGAGGCGGGAAGGCGCGCCTGCAACCCACAAGACGGCGTTGCCACCGTTCATGCCGCCACAGGCGCATGCACAGATGTTCCAAACCGAAAACAAAAAAAAAGAAGGAGATTACTTTTGCGTTGGCAGAACCACGCTTTTGGTTAGCGTCACATATAAGGAGAGTGCTCTACCAAATAGTTTTCTGCCATTAATGTGTCGTTTGCTCTTCGTTTTCGATGCAGTGCATGCATGCATGGTTTCACTGCGCACACATAGAATGGCCACCCCGACGAGCTTTAGCTTTCTTTAATGCGGACATTCGTGTTGTCACTACAAAAGAGATGTCAGATTAGGCACTGATGAAAACTCTCCGAGACCGCAGTAACAATGAGGAATCTTCGGAGGTAAAATCCTCGTGTGCTTCCGCCCTGCGCCGCACCGCAAGTTTGCAGGACCGTAGCCTTCGCGATTAGGCAAATAGCTCTGGCAACACAACAGTGCCTTGAATGCGATGCAGTGAATGCAAAGCAGCGAATGTGATAGCAACAAATTGCAATGTTATAAGAAGTAAGGCTGGCAGCCAACTTTTTTGGATCCAATATCACAGAACTGCTACAAAACGGTGGTGTGAGGTCGCTCCAGCAAGAGGTGCTCATTTCACGTTGAAAGTGCACTGATGCTTGTCGAAACAGCCCACGTGCTAGCAATCGCAACCGTGCTTTTAAAATCACCTCCCCTCCCCCTCACGTTTTTTCATACAGGTGGTTTACATTTGAGCATCAGGCGGCCAGTCCAACACGCCACGAACCTCGTCAAGCCTTGCTGGCTTTTTGTTCATGTTCCTCAACATTGTACAAATGTTGAAATAAAATTTGATTTGATTTTAATTATCGTGTGCACCCTCCAGGCTATAGAGATGAACTGGCTCCTTTGATCTCTCTAGGCTTGTGCAAATAGTGATTTTGGTCAAATAATTCTGAATTGGATTTGAATAGTATATACAACACTAAGAAGGATGGGCATATTTACCATGACCTAATGACTTCAACAATTTCTTTTTAAATAGAAGTAGGGCCTCTATGCAAGTGCCTTTTTTATTGTTCAAGGGAAGTCTAAACAACTTTAAGTAGTAGCAGGATTCGATCTTCGGTAGGATACGAGTGGTAACCTGTAAAATATGTAACATTTTAAAATTTATTATACTTAGTACATATAACCCATCGTAACGAGAATTATGCTTTAAAAAATGATGAATCAATTTGAAGGTAATATGTTTATTTAAAGGGCCCTGTAACACTTTTTTAATTAGCCATAGAATGAATTCACTAAAGAAGCTTATTGCCTCACAAATTCATTGCCGCACAAATTTATAGAATTCTTCCAGTAGGAACAGAGTTGCGACGATTTGTCGCATGCTGCTATTACATT